GCTGTACACTATGATGAGACAGTCTCCCTACACTTTATGTCGTTTACACAGACTAAGTCCGTCTCACAAAGACAAATATGTTTTCTCTCACTTGTGGTTCCTGGTCATAAAATCATATAAGTACATATGAAAAAACAACTGTATAGGGGAACAAAGAGAAGTAAAGAAAGGGATGGGAAGAAGATGGGATATGATCAACTTTTTATATTTGTACAAAAATCTTATGTGACATAGTACTAAGTACTATGAATAAATACAATGCATTTTCTAATTTAAGGAAAAGTTCTGTGTATGAGAATTTGTGCATCTCAGATCCTGCATTTGTTTATGTTTCTTGGCTTTTCCCCCTATATGTTAGCTTGGTTTATTATTATTATTATTATTATTATTACTATTGCCTGTTCTCTAATGAGAGAAAGAAAGTGAATTTGAGTGGGTGGGAAGTGGGGAGGGTCTGGGAAAAGCTGAAGGAGGAGAAATCATAATCTGAATATATTGTAGAAAATCTATTCCAATTAAAACAGGTTTAAAAATTCTGGGGATAAAGTGACTTAGAAAGATTGAGAGTTATTTTATTTTTTGACATCTAGATTGCTTTCTTAGAGAAAAGAATGCTTTGTCAAACAATTTTTTAAATGTTGTATACATATTGACAATTACAATTGCCTATCCTTTAAAATTATAGAGTAATATACATGCTTTAAATTTTTTTAGTTTGAGCTTGAGAATTTCTTCTGAAGGTTCCTAACGAACAGACACTCCCCTGTGAGAGGAGGAGCTAATCCTTGAACCCACTCATGACTGGGTTTAGTTTTCATTCAGAACACCTATGCAGCTGGCAACAGTGATTTCTGTCTAGAATCCCTGTACTTTCAAACTGAGGCAGGAGGCCAATCATGGACATGAGGTTAGCCTGGGCTACAGAATGAGACATTAGTATAAAAAAATTAAAGAATTTAAAACCTGTGAAAAGGTTGGTAGTGGAAACACAAACCATATCACATCTTAAGGGAACAAGTGTCTTATTAACATGTAACATTCACAGTATCTACCTGGTACACGGTGAGGACTACACAAACACAACTAAACACCAAAGCACTATGTGCAACTACCCACCCCTACCCAGTACCCACAAGGCAAATAAACACACTCCTCTAAATGCAGAACTGCTGAGAGGGAGGAGGGAACGGGGCATCTCTGCAGAGATGAATGCAGCTTCAAACACATACCAGGAAGACAAAAACTAAAAGGTATCAAGTCAATTATCGCTAAGTTTGCAAGGCTGACACAGGGAAAAAAACTGTCCCGGAAGTCTGCAGCGCTCCTGCCTCAGCCTCCGCACGTGAACAAAGGAATGTGCTGCCACACTCACGGCGGGCTAACAAGATCGGAATGAAATCAGGACAAACACGCAGCACTGGTAAAGTGTTGCCCTAAAGATCCTGAAGGGGCAGATGCTTTCTTGTATTAAATGACTGTAGAATGTCATACTTACATGTTTTTACACATAATTTTATAGCTATTCTTTTTTTTAATCCAAGTACCTTGTATGTCTTAAATCAGTAAGTTTTTGAAGTGGTGTGCTGAGACTCTGAGATGAGACGTTTTACGTGAGTTAATACCAGCCCTTCACTGCAGTCAGTCGGAATCAAGGGTGAGAGGACAGACGGAGGAGTGTGCTCACTCCACGTCAAGGGGGACAGGAGCCAGACCACAGCAGAGCTATCAGGACTTTTCCTTTCCAGGTATAACTGAAAAGGCCACTGGGGAGAGGAATACAGGTAGCTGAAACACTGAGGACAAACGCAGTGAGCCTCCAGTGCCCTGGCTGTGTGGGGCTTTACCACACTGGCAAGCAGCTTCCAGGAATTTTTGGTGTGCTTTGATTCACTCTTCAAATCAGTCGTTGCCTATCTAACTCTCAACTTTCAGAAAGATGGACCTTCAACATGTCATCTCTACAATGTGGGCAACTGAAGACTTCTAGGAGGGTTTTTGAGTTTTGTTTGTTTGTCTGTTTTTTAATAATTTTTCAGATAAAAGTCATTACCTGAAATGGTCTTGGCACTTTCCATAGCAGGGACTCTTGGGAGAGAGGCGGGTCGGCTAGTTGAAGATGTTCTTAGTAGATGCTCTGCACAAAAACAACATGGATGAATGCTGAGGTGGCAGAAGTACAGGGAAGGTGACTCGTACTTTTCTTAGCCTTCAGGCTCGTCCCTCCTCATAGGCGAAGGCACTTCAACCCCCGCCAAAACAGCATGTTTACTAAAAATGATCTCCATAGACAAGCACCATACAGACCTCCAGTTCAACAATGTATTTCTAGAGGTGGTAGTGAGACGTGCTATGCAGGTGACTCTTTCTAAGTCATTTTGTGTCACTTAATTCTTCAAAGCAACTTAATCAAATTAAGAGGCCCCTAATTGTATTGGCCTAAGGCATAAACTAAAAAGGCCTTGCCTTTCTATGCCTACAGGTAGAAGGGACATCATATATACAAGTATCCATCGACACACATGGTATACTTAGAATTCCATAACACAGCCAAAAAGGAAAATAGTTCATTCTTATTCAGGCAGCAGAGAAGGGTTGAAAACCATAGTGGTAGTAGGCTGGGCCGTACCAGAAAGAAGGGCTGGGAACTGCATTTCAGCCAGACAATAATGGAAAAAAGATACGAAGGAGAAGGAAATAAGAGTCTGGTTTGATAAAGCATGGGTTATCTGGACAGCAGGGGAGGAGGCTCTCCAGGGTGATGACACCGAGAGCCTTAACTACCCACTCTGTGGTCTGAGGACTAGTCTAGCTAGTGTCATCCCTGCTGAACAGCCAGGAATGACACAATCAGATGCTGCCGCCCCTATTATGGCTTCAGCTTGGTTCTTACACATACATACTTTCTTAGGAGTCTCTTTAGTTCCTGGAACACTGGTGCAATCTTTCTTTCCTGCTAACTCCCTCTTCCTGCACATGTCTTATCTAGGGTTACGAACCCAACAGGCTGTGCTCAAGCCAGAAGACATGAATGCATGTGTTCTGCCTAGCCAGGATCTGATATGTTAGGGATAAATGACTAGTAGAAAACTAAACAATAACGCCTGTATTTAATAAAGACTATTATTAGCCTTACTTTCCAAGAATGCCCACCCATTTCTTTTTTAACATATTAACTATTTAGTAGCTGGAAAAGCAGGTCAATGATAAAGTATGGTTTAGGATGCCTGAGGCCCTAGGTTCAATGATTGGCAACAAGCAAAAAACAAACAAACAAACAAAAATATGGCACACAGTACTAAGTCTTTAGAATATCACATATTTTAGTCCCAATAATTCTTTGTATTTTTAATTGTCTGTATATGCATGTACATGCATACATGCATGGGTACGGGTACCCTGGAAGTGGACTTACAGGAAGTTATGAGCCACTCAACATAGGCACTGGGAACCACACTCAAATCCAGGAGGAGCTTGTGTTCTGATGCTAATTATATTACCTGAAATCTGTTTGCAGTGTCCCCAGTTGGCTTTTGACTGATCAATAAATCTACCAGAGGCCAATGGCTAGACAGGGAGAGAGAGAAGGGACTTTTAGGATTCCCAGGAAGGGACTGAGGAAGGAGGAAGAGGGGATTCCACCATGATGAGGGCATAGGAGACGGATTATGGCAGAAAGGTGCAGAGGGAGAAACAGCTGACATGTAGGTGAAGAGGGAAAGCAGCCCCAGGAGGGCTGCCCAGCACGGTCCAGGCCAGCAAAGATAAAATATAAATTTGGTAAGTATTAACTCAGGAGTATCAGAGGGGAGTGTGTGTGTGTGTGTGTGTGTGTGTGTGTGTGTGTATGTGTGTACCACGTGGAGTGAGGGAGTGGCACAGCCATTGAGCTGTTTAAGGTATTTAAAATGTAAGGCTGTGTATGTGGTCTTTCTTTGGGGAATCCAGAACACTGGGGCAGTAGTGAGAAGCAGGTGCACACCCACTGGAAAGTTAGAGCGGACTAAAATACTACCGTGTCAAAGTCCTCTGAAAAAGCAGCACATACTCAACCACTGAGTCACCTCCCCAGCCCCAAGGAATATTCTGCAAGAGTCTTAGGAACAAGTAGTTTGAAATCAAGAGTTACTTTCTACTTAGGAGGCCCAGGAAGTGGGAAGGAAAGCCGACTTTCTACATAAGGACACATGTGGTAAAAGTCATTAGTAATAGTATCATAAACAAACATTGCTTGATGAGTTGGATGGTTTTTCGAGACAGGGTTTCTCTGTAGTCCTGGCTGTCCTGGAACTCTCTCTGTAGACCAGGGTGGCCTTGAACTCAGAGATCCACCTGCCTCTGTCTCCCAAGTGCTCAGAATAAGGGCCTGTACTACCTACCACACCTGACTAAACAAACACTTTTATACAAACAGCTTACAAGCATCAATCAGAATCCCAAATCCTATGAGCTTTTAAAGGAAAAACATTTCAAGCCCAAATTCTAAGATACAGAACAGAAACAGAAACCAAGGTTTTATTTACGTCTTTATTTACGTGTGTGTGTGTGTGTGTGTGTACGCACGCATATGTGGAGGCCAGAGGTCAAAAGTCAGATGTCATTCCTCAGGAGCCATCTACCTTGGCTTTTGAGAAAGGGTCTCTGACTGGAACCTGGGTCTTGCCAGTTAGGCTAGGCTGGCTTGCCGGTGAGCCCGAAGGATCTGACTGCCATTGCCTCTCCAGTGCTGGACTTCTAAGTGCACCACCGTGCTCTGCTTTCTACATGGGTGCTGGGCATCAAACCGAAGGCCTCAAGTTTACACAGAAAGCATGTTACCAGCTGAACTATCTCTCTAGTCCAGTAATCGATATTTTAAATTGAATCAATTATGAACCTAAAAGATCATTTCCTTAAAAACCTTAAGTCTCCCAAAGAACAATGCAGCAAATTAAGAAAGTAAAACAAGTGTTACAAAAACAAAACAGATATCTAGCCAGACGTGGTTAGTTTCAGCAGGGCAGATAGGTCTCTGTGAGTTCACGGCCAGCCTGGTCTAAACAGGTCCCAGGCCAGCAAGGTCACACAATGTGACCCTGTTCCAAATGCAGGAGTGTCAGTTTTGGATGGAAACTGTGAGAATCGCCCCCTTACTGTCTTCCCCCCGCACACACGCGGCGCCGGGCTCTTCATCTGCCTGTCTGTCTACACTGCATTCTGTCTACACTGCATTCTGAAGGTCCGTGCCTCTGCCCCATTTCAGCAGATAATCCCTGTTATAATAATGTAGAAACCTGAGATCAGAGAGGCTGCTTCCTTCCCTTCTCTCACCATGCAGGTCCCAGGTACTGAAGTCAGGTCCTCAGATGTGGGGTCAGGCATCTCTGCCTGCTGAGAAACCCACAGGCCTCACCTTTAATTCATTCATCCAACAAAAAATCATGTGAGCATCTCCTACTTGTTGGGTAGGAGGCTGCAGACTGGTTAAGGAGTCTGGACTTTCTCCCGTGGGGGTGAGGGGCATGCAGGTTGTATCAGGTGAGCACTGTGGCTGCAGAACTGGACAGGTTTGTGCAGGATAATGAGCGAGATAGTAGAGACAAAAGATGACACCGACCAGGACAGTGAAAACGTGAGGCGAGGCTGTTCAAGAGCTCCTTAGCAAGGCAGGATCAACACAACTGCTGACGGAGGGGATGCAGAGGGGAGGACAGACACGACCCGCTCAGAGGTAAGAATGGCGGAGTACTATAAAGGGAGAGAGGTGAACACACTGAATTCAAACCCTCTGAGATAATCAAGGGAAGACAGAGAAAAGGGAAAGAATAGGTTTGGAAGGAGAACTGAACGTATAATTTTGGAAATCACTGGCACGAGGTGACAGAGGAGTAGTGTGACTGACCACACAGGTCACAGGTAGCCTTGGTTAGAGCAATTCAGCAACTATAGATGGAGACAGGGTGAGATGCTCTTGGGGATAAAAGGTACGACAAGTAGGGAGACACTGCACACGGGGAGAGAATGTGACTGCTGGTGGGGAAAGATGGGACTTGTTTCATTTTTATGCAGGAGACAAGTAGAGAAAGACAGAGAGGAAAATAGACAAAGAGGTAGAACCATGTCTACTGTCTAGCTTCTTGCTTCGGCCTCCAGAGTTCTGGGATTACAGGAATGTGCAACCATGTGCAGTTTTTCTTAACACAAGAAAGATGTCAGTGTACTTAGACGGGAGTTCCAAGAGTTGAAAATACAGGACAAGGAAATAACTGAGTAAGCACATGAGGCAAGAGCATCTGGAGAAGACCAAGCAGAAAGAGCCATGACTCAAACAGACAGCTGGTGGGTCTGGTGGTGGATGGGACACTGAGACAGCAGGACTGCCACGCTTTGAGGCCAGCCTGGGCTACAGAGTGAGGCCCGTCTCAAGTAAATAGATAAGAAGTGTAGCATGCTGGCACATTCCTATAACACTAGCACCTAGGAAGCAGAAGCTACATGATGGAGAACTCAAGGTTGTCCTCAGCTCCTTAGCAGCTTTGAGGCCACCTTGGGCTACAATGAGGCCTTGTCTCAAAAAAAGACTTTAAAAATAAAGCCAGAGAAGGGGAATGAGTATAAAGAGGGAGCCAAGGTTTTAGGGGTGTAGCTCCTTTCCTGGTATACCGACCATGCTTCAGGAGACGGCCACAGACCCAGAAGTACATGGACAGACACACTGGAGGTGATAGTTACTAATTTTAAAACAAAGGAGAAAAGAATGTTGAAGAGTGTAGAGTGGCTTATAACTGCCCCTAACCAGTTCTAGGGAACCTAGAGCCCTCTTCTGGTCTCTGCAGGCACCTGGCACACATACAGTTGTGTGTGTGTGTGTGTGTGTGTGTGTGTGTGTGTACACACACACACATTCAGGCAATCACCACATACTCATAAATAAATCTTTAAAGAAAATCATTACTTGTTATAAGGTTTGAAAATCTTGGCCCTATTGACATTTGGGGCTGTACAGACTTTGGTTGTGGGGATTGTTTGCGAGGAGGAGGGTGTTTAGCAGGATCTGTGACCTCTGCACAATGAAAGGTAAGCTCACACTAGTAGCAGCATGTGGGTAGTGCTAGCACCCACATAGTTCCTCTGGGCGGCAAGATTTTTTTTTTCAGTTGAAGGAATCTAGAGAATGACTCTCATGGTTTGTCTTATTTTTCTAATTTCTATGGACAGATGGAAAGTACAAGAAAACAAACTAGGAGAGCCTAGCTGACCGTGCATACGTTTTTACCATTCCCATTGGGTGCCAGGAACTGATTCCAGGTCCTCTACAAGAACAGCAAGTGCTCTTCACTGCCAAGCTGCCTTTCCAGTTCCAATAAAAAAAATTTTCTTAAAAGATTTATTTTATGTATGTGAGTCCACTGTCACTGTCTTCAGACACACCAAAAGAGGACATCAAGATCCCTTTACAAATGGTTGTGAGCCACCATGTGGGTGCTGGGAATTGAACTCAGGACCTCTGGAAGAGCAGTCAGTGCTCTTAACCACTGAAGTATCTCTCCAGCCTCCCAATAAAAATTTTAAGTTAAAAAATAGGATGTTGCCAGGTAGTGGTGGTGCATGCCTTTAATCCCAGCACCTGGGGGGTGGGAGGGAGAAGAGAAGCAGGCTCTCTGTAAGTTCAAGGTTAGCCTGGTCTACAGAGCAAAAGTTCTAGGACAGCCAGGATTGTTACATAGAGGAACTATCTCAAAAAAAAAAACAAAAAAACAAAAAAAAAACCAGAAGACAGTGTATTAATGTTGATAGAGGGGGAAAAAAGAACAGGACAAGGCAAGTAGAAAACATTTATCAAGATGGCAGACTTTAGTTCAGACTCATGAATTAGCATGGTGACACCGAATAGTCTAAATTTATAGTTACACTGTAGACCAGGCTTGCCTAGAACTCAGTCTTCCTGCCTTGCCTACCTGAGTAATGGGATCACAGATGTGTACTACCATACTTGGCTTTGCATCGTAAATCTTTTCCTTTGCTTTACTTTATCTATGCCTGTATATTAAAGTGTGAGTCTTTTAACTTTTTTATGTGTTCAGACAATGTCTGTAAAAATGGGAAGGACAGTAATACACTTTCCGTGAAGAACTGCGAAACTGTCTTGCAGTGACATGCAGTCTGTATTACTTACTATAAAAGCTATCAGCCTGGAAAGGGCACACACGTATAACTCCACACTCTAAAGCATTAGGCAGGAAGACACTGAAGTCAGTTCGAGGCCAGTCTGTCTACACAGCAAGACTTCATGAAAGCTTCATGAACTAACAACTCATTTCCCTACTTGTAGTTAGGACATGTTAATAAAAACTTCGGACACATCAGATCAGCTAGCATGATGTCAGCACTAAGAAAGTAAGTTAACTAGCCAAAGAATGTCAAGGTTAACAGAAAAGTAAAATGATATGAACATGTTAGCTGTACCTTGTACAGGAATTTCTCCATAGTTTGATCTCTTATCTGACAAGGCTGTCAGAGGCTTGGAGGTTGAGATTGGACCACTTATGGAATGTCTCTGAAATGAAAGCAAAGGCATGTGAGACTCACAGAAAAGACAAAGGCTTCCAAGAGTAGATACTTAATTATAGACAATGAATAATTCCTTTGTTTTGCTATGGTAAGGTATAAACACACAATAGACGCATACAATGTATGATCTGTAGACTGAAAAAAAAAATTCCTTGGGGACTAAAGAGATGGCTCAGTGGTTAAAAGCACCCACTAGCTCCTCTCCCAGAGGACCTGGGTTCCCAGCACCCACATGGCAGCTCACAACTGTCTGTAACTCCAGTTCTAAGGGATATGACACCCTCACACAGATAAATGTACATGCAAAACACCAATGCATATAAAATACAAATTAAATCATTTAAAAAATAAATTTATTATAAGAAAAATATCTATTCCTATGTGGTTTTAAGAAATAATATAACCAGCATCCTCTTCACTCGGTTTCCTTTAATGGTAGCATCTTATACTTCAATTATTAAAATATCACAACTAGAATACTGGCACAGTCAAGACAAAGACACTTCCTTGGGACCCTGTTATACTAACATATATCACTGACCCTAATAGCTCTGGCACTCTGAATACAATTTAATTCTTCTATTTGAAAAATGTAAACAACCATATGCCAATTCGCTAAACACAAAATTAAGTTCCAAACTGAAATACTGGTGTGTTTCTATTGTGGTTTTATTGTTTTTTTCTTGTCCCCATGCCAAACAGACCTCAACTATGCCTCCCACTCAATAATTTGACAACTTCCCTAGATCAGGCTGTGGCCTTTACTCAACATCCCTGCCAAAAGCACTATTAGGTGTTTCCTTATCCCCTGATGTAGGCATATACAACAGCCTAAACACCCTTCCGCCACTACTGCTCCAACCTATAAGATACATAACAGGCTGTCCACGCTTCTTTCTGTACTTCAATTTGCTTGGTTTTTCTCCAGCCCCCAAACCATCCTAAAGACAAAATCTCACTAAGTAACCCTGGTTGTCCTGGAACTTGCTAGGTAGACCAGGCAGGCCTTAAACTCACAGAGATCTACCTACCTCTCCCTCTATATCCCAGCCCTCAGCCGTATCTCTTTAAAATCTAACTAACCTCCAGCTACTTGCTTTGCTTTCCCATAAGATCTATCTAGGGATATGCAAAAGGCTCAGCTTCTCCACATCGTCACACTGCTAACCTTTCACTCTGTATGGACTGGTACCTTACTGTGAACTTCATTTCCATTTCCTTGATGACTGCTGATGCTGACCACCCTCACATATGCTTACATGTAAATCACCTGCCCTTTAGTACATGTTGTCTTCCAGTTACTGCATGAAAGTCTTTTCTACAATAAGTAAGTATTATAAATATATGCTCTTATGCATTGTATGCCTTTGCTTATTTGCCACATGTTTAGGACAAATTTTTAAAATCCTGATGCCCAAATATCAGTTGCTTTTATGACTCATTTGTGTGTGTGTGTGTGTGTGTGCCCTAAATAAGAAGCCTTTGCATGCTCAAAGAGTACAAAGCTTTTCACTATTGTTCCTGTCTCTAAGCTTTATGTACAGTGCTATCACTTGAGTCTACTGGTCAACCTCAGCATCTCATATACTTTATCCTCATACTAAATAAGCCTGACCGTATGTCCTATGGATATCTAGTTCCTCAGAACCTTGTGTAGACTACTCCTACCCTCATGCTACACCCATGACAGCTGTGCTGAAGTCAGCTGTCCACCCCAAGACTCTGTCTATTCTCTAACCTCTCCTCAACGAAACATACTGTTAGTGTCATATTGTAAATGCTGAAATCAAGTACTCCAAATCCCCCAAATGGCTTCACATACTCAAACCCTTTGCATTTCTATATAAATACAAAATCATATTCTATTTTGATGGATTCTGTTAAAAATTTGTAAGACTGTTCTGGCAGTCTTAACCAGAGAAATAACCTACTATATTACTTACGTATACTGTATGACAAAATACCCCAATATTTTACAGTGACTTTAAACAATAAACATTTAAGATCTCATGATTTCTATGGGTCAGAAGCTTAGTTAGATAACTCCAGCTCCAGTCTTCAGTGACCAGGCCAATCTAGCTATCAGTTATCACAAAGACAGACTGGAGGTAAGGTACAGGGGATATCTCCAAATTTCAAGTCCGTCCGCAGTGGTTGTTGATGAGACTCAGAGCCGCTTCTAAGCTTACTCAATGGTCCTTTGCAAGGAGTAAGCTCACAGTGGAGCACCTAGAGGGTTCTCTCAGCGTGGGTGAACCTACGTAGCGAGAAGACTGAACTTAAGAGGAGCACTCAACAGAAGCCAGTTTTACAACCTTCTCTGCGAAGTGCCACTATATTACTGCTGCTGTGCTCTACTCATTAGAAACAAACCATGGAGTAAGTCAGCCAACACTCAACAGGAGCAGAGCACACAAACAATGCTCGCCAGTACCTGGCTCGCTGGGAGTTTGTAGACTGCCTACGACAGTTACTCATGGCTCTCCTAATCCTTCTGGAATGACTTTGATAGTCTTTTGGGCAGACCCAACTATCAAGCACTCGAGATCTAGCTAGATGTACTTTTATTCCCTTATCTGTTCAAGGAGGTTCTTCATAGTGGCTGATATGAAATCACAGGACTCCCAGACCTGTATAAACTATGGAAAGCATCTGTCTGAAAAGTCTTCCTACCTGGCCATACAGGACTTCACTCCAATCAGAGAAAGACGGCTGGCCTCACGCAGATTTAAAAGGATTCTTATGGAAATGTCTGGACCCTCTCTGTGTAGCTTCCTCTTCTCAGGGGCTCTGCCCTGAAGAGTCTAGAGACTTCATTTTCTTTGAATGTTGGTTTGTATCCTCAGATCTAACTGGTTTGTCTTTTTCTGTTCCAAGATGGACCATCCACCCTAAACCATCACCTAGAAAGTGCCTCCCGGAAGAGAGGGCCACAGCAGGACTTTCTCACCTGTCAGTATTGTTTTTCAGGGACCACAGCAGTGTAATATCTGAAAACAATGGTTTCCTACAGTCTATCCAGCATTCCATTTGTTTGAGACAACTTCTGTTGTTGTTGTACCCACATAACATAAAGATTCCTGCCCATGAAATTTTTAAAAAACCAACCAGGCGGTAGTGGTAAATGCCTTTAATTCCAGCACTTGGGAGGCAGAGGCAAGCAGATCTCTGTTGAGTTCAAAGCAGACTGGTCTATAGGATAGGCAGCACTACACAGAGAAACCATGTCTTCAAAAACAAACAAACAAACAAACAAATAGAAACTGTATATTATTCATCTTATTTGAGGCTTGTTTTACTTGGCATCTTGCTCTGTACCTTTAGAGATCAAGTCTGATTAATAAAGAACATCTAAAAAGCTTAAATCTGCATGCAAAACACGGAGTTTCATTGCCTTCCTTTAAAATTAAGCAGACATCTTATACAAACATGAAAATGCAAAGCCACTGGCTAAGATGATGCATTTATCTTAGATTGTAAGAGTTTAAAAGTCCACTCACAAATCACAGGGCCAATCATGAAGTCTCAACTCAAAAAAGAAAACATCCCAAAGCTTAACTTTAGGGAGTCAGTCACTGCTCCCTGTGTTCACATACTCTCACCCACCCATGTTAAAGTATGTCACTTCAGCCATATTCTGAGAGTGGCTAAGAAAACAGCATTAACAAGAGGGTCTCTTGAGTCCCACACAGAACAGCCCTCTGCCCTGCTCCTGGATGCACTCCAACAATGGCAAAGAATAGCAATTCTCAAAGCTCTTTATAATGGATCAGCATGTCATATCCTCGAGCTTAACTGTAACAAATGGCCTTCAATGAACAGTGCTTCTCTCAATCCATGCCTTGTGTAGACCAACATTTAACTCTGGGTTGTATATGTGCAAGTGTGTAGGTACGTGTGCTTGCATTCAGATGTGCCAAAGAGGCCTAGAAAAGGGTGTCAGATATGCCCAAGGAGCTCAAGTTACAGGGTATTGTGTGAGGTCTCAGATGAGTGCTGGGAACAGCTCTCTTAACTGCTCAAGCCATCTCTCCAGCCACTGAGTCAGCACAATTTGAAATGATCTATTAGACAGCAAAAGATAAAATGTGCCACCTACAGACGCAGAAAGATATCAGTTTCCAGAAGAGCATCACGATTTACATTTATAATTTGCCTCAATTAAGGATATTCATGGTATTTTACCAAGTAAAGCTAACAAACATCTTCTGAGGGAGTCATTTGTCCACCTGAGACGTGTGCATGACTGAAAAAGAGTGTCTAACATACACATTTAAAGCTTTCTGAGCCTTCAATGATCACAGGCTCTTACCTGCATGGGAGAAACGGCAGCTGCAGGAGGGGTTTTCATGGGACTTGGACTCAGAGGCGTTCGAGGGATTGCAGCTGCAGCAGCATTTGGTACTACAAAATCAGCAAATGAGAACGTTAACCATAAACACATCACGGTGCAGGGATGTTTCCTGCACAGGCTTTTCTTTGACCAGATGAATGGTTTGCTAGTCTAGGCCAACACTTCACTTTTGCTATTTAATCATGTTTGGCTAAAAAACTCCATAAGCCAATGAACTCTAAGAAGAAAGCACACAAGAGGATGGGCAAAGCTCAGTGGAACAGCACTGTAGCTCACATGAGGCCCCAGGTTCCATCTCTACCATCACTATGTATATATTTTTAAGAAACTAAGAGGCAGGCAAGGCAGCAAATACCTATAACCTCAGTATTTCAGAGGCAGAGACAGACAGATCACAAGTTGAAACCAGATTGAACTACTTCTATCTAGGTCAACCTGGGCTGCATAGTAGGGCCCTGTCTCAATAAACAATATGAACAACACATACATACATACATACATACATACATACATACATACATGCATACATACATACAGAGAGAGAGGGACAGAGAAGGGGCAGGCAGACACAGAGAGACAGAGACAGACACAGAGACAGACACAGAGACAGTCTACAGCTTTTATGGCAGACTGCAGATATATCTTCAGGGTTCATGCTGTAAGAGTCTAGCTTGCAGTGTACAGAAGAATAGCCTGAGGTGACAGAACTTTGATCTGAACTTCATTCCAATTATCCTAAGATAATTCTAGGATTTTAAACAAGAAAAACTCTCAAAAGCAAAAGATGAGGCTAATTCCAAGTTTACTGAAGTTAAAAGATAAAGGTGCCTTGAACTCATTCATGTCTTTGTCTCTAAAGATGAAGAAAGAGAAGAGAACAAGGAAGTTCATGGTGGAGGCTGGACAGTGAGGGAAAGAAGTTGGATTAGGTTCGTGGTTCCTGGTCTCGGTAACTAGGTCGAACTCTGCTGACAACAGGGATGGGGAACAGTGAAGCAGAAGTGGAGACTGGGGCCTGGTCTGGCAGAAGGATGCTCAGTGTCAGTGTCAACAAGGTAGGAGTTCAAGTTATGCCCCCAGAAGTCTGCACATAGAGAAGATACAAGTCACAGGCATGAGTATGATCCACCTAGGGAGAAAAGACACTGCTTGGCCAGGGAAGTAAGGCATACAGCTGAGACCAGGATTTCTAACCTGAAGTACATTCAGAACCCTGCAGAACCGGTTAACTCATGATACCATGCAGCACTATGTGAGGGCACTGTATGGTACCATAGAGAACCTGATGAAACTAAGAGCATACGGTGGCACAGAATACTGAACTAGACAAGAAGGGTGTCAAGTGAACAGAACCGTAAGCCTTGCCTCCACAGACACGGAGTCAGTTACCTTGAGATGCACTGTCGAAAGACTTGATGAGGGTTTTTACTGTGGGAGTTGGCTCTGAGGACGCCGAGGACCTTCTACTCAGTCCCATCCCTTGCCTCAAGGCTGCCAAATCTCTTTCAACGGCATTCATGTAGTTATACACCCGGCCTCGCTCCTCCTCTTGCCTAAAAACAGTAAAATAAAGGCATTGTATGTATGAGAAAATGCCAATTTTTAAATTTCTGATTGGAAAGCATTAAAAGTTATTAGGGTTTGGTTTTTGGTTTTGTCTTTTGTTGTTTTGTCTTTTTAATTGTACCAGTTGAACACAAGTGCCTGACCTAATCCTATTTGCCTGGTAGACAGCAGGAAATGATACTGAGATGCTCCTCTCAGCCTAGTCTAAGCAAGTTAAATAGCCATCAAATTCCATCTGCATTAAGTGTCAGGTGAGGACATCAGTAATCAATTAGCAGTAAGTCAGGAGGCAGACTGGCCTTAGCCTGACTCAACTGGGAATCTCTGGTTCTGTGCTGCCAGTAAGGCGCAGCCCTTCTCAGGCACCGCCCTTCTCAGGCACCAGGGAATTCACTAGTAGATAACCTATGCTGGCTCCAGCTAAACACTGTGCTTCACGGAGACACACGAAGGCACAGGACCAAAAGGTCCAACTCCCTAAGGACAGGTAAACTACTATCGTCTCCAGAGAATCCCTCCAAACGACTAGGAAAGCTCATTGAGTTAATTAAGACCATAAGACATTTTATTTAGCTCTGAGGGTTCCAAGCTGGTCGGATCCACACAGAGATGAATAAAACATCTTATAGTCTTAATGAGACCCTGTTTGAAAAACATCTAAAAACATTTTATAAAACACTTTATTTTCCAAATTCAAAAATTGCTAAGAAAAATAAGTGTCTTACATTAAAAAAAAATGTATTTATCATGTATGTGAGCACACTGTCAGTCTCTTCAGACCCACCAGAAGAGGATATCAGATGCCATTACAGATGGTTGTGAGCCACCATGTGGTTGCTGGGAATTGAACTCAAGACCTCTGGAAGAGCAGTCAGTGCTCTTAACTGCTGAGCCATCTCTCCAGCCCATGTCTTACATTTTTAAAAGCATGTATTTAGCCAGGTGTGGTAGTACATGCCTTTAATCCTAGCACTTTGGAGGCAGAGACAGATGGATGTCTGTGAGTTCAAGGCCAGCCTGGGATGTATAGTGAGCTCTAAGACAGCCAGGTTACATAGAGAAACTTTGTCTCAAAATAAGTAATTAAATAAGATAAGATAAAGGATGGATGGATGGATGGATGGATGGATGGATGGATAAAATGACATACACATTTATCTGCTTAGATGACAACTATACTCTCACTTCTATATTCCATCTACTAAGATATAAAAAAATCCAGATCTCAAAAAACGTGTGACTGGAATAGAGGAATATTAGTATCTTTTCAGATAACTTTGACTATTCCACTATATACACTAAAAATCAAACAATGAGAGCTACTACATTTTTGTTGGGCTGGAAAGTAACTTAGTCCTGAGTCTGCCTAGACAGGTAGACAACCCTGGGTTAAATCAGCAGTACCACAGGGGAAGTGTGCTGCAGGCTGGAGAAGGGACGCAGAGGTACAGCACTGTTGAGTGTGGATGAAGCTGAGTTGAAGAACCACCATTCCAAGCAGAAAAATCAGCTCGGGTGCGGAAAGTGGAGCTGTGTAAATGAACCTCTCCTGTCTTATCCATTAAATCCATTGGATGTCCCAGACTTTGAAAGAATTTCCTACCCATCTGATTCTATAACATCATATACTGATCATAACAAAACCACTGGCATTTCAGACTTTTCATTCAGATGGCTTTAATTATACAACACATTTAAGTCATATTTGCTATTAATAATGATAGCATCAAAAAACTCCAAGGCCAGTGAGATGGCTTATCAGGTAAAGCTGCTTGCTGCCAAGTCTGACAACCTGAGTTTGATGCCCAGAACACACACAACAGCAGAAAACCAACTTTTACAAGTTGCCTTCTCATTTTCAGATGTACAGAGTGGCGCACACACAAAATAAATAAATACAATTTAAAAGAAGAAAAGCCTCTTTAAATCTTCATCTTGCAGTGGCAGAAAAAAGTTTTCCGAAATTCTCAGGCTCCCTTGAAGACTACATTTCATCATCAACAAATACCAGCAGTTGTTCTCAATGGACAGGCGCCTCATCACTTTCAAGGAACTCCCTGTCAAATGTAGATGCTGCCCCATGAGGAGAAAGCAGCTCAGACTGTCGGCCACACAGGGCTCACCTCAGCCACCTCACACTTGGACGCATGGTTTGAAGTGGAAGTGCCCAGTCACACTTCCACTTGTCACTTGGAAGGCTAGAAAGGGCATGCCAAGGCTGGGATTGGGTAAACCTTTCAGGAAGGGTATTTTTAAATGAAACCCATGTTCTGTTTCATTTAGGCAGTTCTGCACTTTAACAAGTTACCACACGTTATAACGAGCTTGACTTTGACACAAAGGCCCTGGGTCATCAAGTTGACCTTTGTTCCTCACTATCAAAGCAAAAATCAGTGAAAACAGTCACCTTCCTGTTAGTATTATTATAAAGACTAAGTGCAAGGGGCTCTGGAAGGTTCCATAATGGAGAGTATCACTCTGACAACAGCACAGTACAAGATGCTCTCTCATCACTTTTTAATAGTGTGTGTGTGGGTGACTGCAGAGACCACAAGACAACAACATGTTCCCAGGAACTGGAGTTACAGGTAGTCCTGAGCCACCTGACAAGAGTGCTGGAACTACACTCAGATCTTTTGGAAGAGCAGGAAGTACTCTTAACCACTTCCACCTCTCCAACCCAAGATGCTGCATCTACTGGCAGACAGCTCCTTGAAACAAAGACTAATAACCTTTCAGGAGCCCATAGAATGATGCTTCAAGAACAGAATTTTAGGGCTTAGTGGTAGAGTGCTTGGCAGATGTAAGGCCCTAGGTTAATCCCTAGCATGATGGATGGATGGATGGATGGGTGGACGGATGGATGGATGGATGGATGATGGACAGACAGAACTTCAGTACTCGGGGTAACTATCAAATGAGGCATTTCTGACACATAAACTCGTTCCCCCACTCAATGGAGTGTTACTGTGGAACTCAAAGCAGTTCACAGATATCACCTCATATGGCCATTTTTGCGATTTCCAATGATCTCCGTGTTAGATGTGGAGGGTACTACTTTGGAGGACTTTGAAAAAAAAATGGAAATTCCTCAAGTGAGTGATGGAAAGAAACTTATACTATACCGCTTGTTTTTTTCAAAATTGGTAACTCAAGTTTACTGCTGGCTGCTTGGATCCCTTTGCAAACATAAGCTCATTTACGTACAACAGCACTATAAAGTGGCTCACAGGCCTTCACATTACAGCTGAGACAACTGAGGCACAGGGCACAGGGAGATTAACACTGTTAACTGAGAACACACAGCCACCAAGAGGCAGGGCCAGACAGAAGCCGATTCTGTCTGTATCCAGACTTACAGTCTACAGAGAAATAAAAGGGTTGCACTGTGAGCGAGCTTCAGGACAAAGAACGGCACCAGTGCCACATCTGTTCCTTACTGAAACAAAAGCGGCTTCTCAGAACGTACTTGCGTGACTTTATTTCCTCCAATTCTTTTGTGAGTTTCTCATTTTTCTCCTGGGCCTCATGTAGCCGTCGCTTTAGGTCACCAATCTCCTCTTGGGCTTCGGACTTGATGTCATTTGCAATGACCACTGCAGTCTGGAGATCAGCCTGAAATTGCCGCCATTCTGCAGACTCTTCCTACATTAGAAAAACTAAACTCTTACTTCCAAAACAAAGTGATGAAGATTTACTTAAAAGCAATAAAGTTTATTTATGATTAGTTTGCCCTACCAAGTGATACTCTTGAATGACAATGACAACTTTTTTTAATCCCAAGAATTGCTGTTATCTATTTTTAAAACAAAGCAACTCTTATCAGTGAATTTGTTCTTAATGAAGGAAGATTTGGCATCTGATTCTCCTACTGAGGCATTATGTATTCAGAGTGCTCAATAAATATTGATGAGGAAAAATGTTAGACTTATCTTCCTCATGCAAGTTTCAAAGCAAGTGTTATGAAAATAAATATCATCAAAAATTTAGAGCTTTACCTCTGGAACTCTCAAGAAGGTATATAAATGGTATGTGAACCATACAGCAAAAAACTATAAATACACTGACATCAAAAACTAGCAGGAAAAAAAAATCTAAAGTAAAGGAAAAGGAAGAGGAAGCCAGAAGAAAAACTGAACGCAGTGCAGGCAGACACAGTCATACAGAGAGGCATAAGAACTGAGTGCTCTGCTGCTTCCCACAGACAAGGAGGATGCGGGTGTGGCTGGGCCGAGACGCCTCCCCAGGGGCTTCACTTCCCCCAGAGCCACAGCTGGGCCTCGCCTGAGCCCTCTCATCCTCAAAGCAATTTTCTGGTACCATGAAAGCAGCTCCAACAACTGGGTCAGGACTCAGGGTCTCTGATTAGCACTGTCCCTGCACATCTTAGCAGCATGGGTGCTGGCAAGCAACCCAACCCAGAGAATACAGAAATCTCACATACAGACAGCCTGGTCTGTGATTTTAAAATCAAAAGTTAATAAACTTTATTTTCAAAACACAACATATCTATCCATAAATAACTACCAGTACATTCTCCTACCTTAAATGTAGTGCCAGTCCCAATTTAAAATAATGGCATTTGCTTTCAGTCCAGTGTGGCTGATATCCTACCATATCTACAGATTAAAGTAACAGTACAAATTTCAGAAAACCATGTTTTCTAATGAGATAGCACATGAAGATTCATCTTACCCGAAGTCTCCTGTGAAGTGTCTTGATTTCTCTTTCCATGTCATGCTTTTGGTCTTGGAGTTTTTTAACTGTATCTGAAAAGATCACAAAGATTAAATATTTCTTTTCTTCTCTTTCTTTCTTTCTTTTTTTTTTTTTTTTGGGGTTTTTCGAGACAGGGTTTCTCTGTGTAGCCCTGGCTGTCCTGGAACTCAGTCTGTAGACCAGGCTGGCCTTCAACTCAAGAAATCCGCCTGCCTCTGCCTCCCAAGTGCTGGGATTAAAGGCGTGTGCCACCACCGCCCGGCTAAATATTTCTTCTTAAACCTAAAGTTCTTAATGATCTTAAATGTTCAAAAACAATGACATAAAAAGAGGTGTTAAAAATATGATCATCTAAATAGTTTTTCCTGTACAGAGACTTGTTTACTTTCATCACAAAACTTAAAAGCATGAAAGAATATTCAATCCAAGACTATAGTTTCTACATCACTTCCTACGTAAACTGGAAACAATTATTAGAAACATACATATTATTGGCACAATGCCAATCAAAACAGCATTGACTGCTATTAAAATGTCAGCTTTTAATCACAGAAGTTATCGTTCTAAAACATGCAAGCATAATTCCCTTTTCACACTGGAATAAATTCCAGAAACATGAAATGAGTAAAATTATTTTTAAAATTAATTGTAATATCCAGAGAGCTGCCAATGAATCTATGGAATAGTAGCACTAAATGCAATAGGAAATCACATTCTCTGCTTGCAAGGAAGTTCTGCCTTAAAAGCCATACAGAGAGAAAGCCTCAGAGCGTACCACGCCTAACTGTCCTTCTGGACATCTGTCACTCTCGTCATGTAATCACCTCACTGCTCTCCCAGCTCAGGAATAAACCACGTCTCAGTTATGCACCAGGAAAGGCACTGATGTATGGAAAGAAGAATCCTTTACTAAGATTTTGCCTATTGATGCTACAGTTCCCTCTCCATCCTCAAACACAGTCTTTCTTTCCTCCTCCCACATATACTAAAATGAAAATAAATCGCTCTCAAATTCAGAGGCTCACATATGCTATGCAAAAGTCTTCAACCACTGAACTGTATCCTGAGTCATGATGCATATTTCTTAATCTATCTGTTTGTTTTTGAGGCAAGGTCTCATTATCCTCACTATGTAGCTCTGGCTGTCCTGGAACTCAGTATGTAGAGCAGCCTGGCCTTGAACTCACAGAGATCCACCTACCTGCCTCCCAGTGCTGGGAATAAAAGTGTGGATCACTCATTCAGCTTTTTTTAAATCTCAATCTCTCTCTCTCTCTCTCTCTCTCTCTCTCTCTCTCTCTCTCTCTCT